GGGGGGGGGGTTGGTGGTGTGCCAGGCTCAGCCTTGTCCAGAGAGGGCTATTTTATTGCCTGGTCCACTTCACATATTGGGAACAGGTAATAACTTCATGAGCCTTATAGGTATCCCAGGCAAAGAATATTTTCTAATGTAAAAAAAAAAAAAATAACCAAAGAACCTTTTTCTTCATTTTGGCTGCTAAATATGAATCTTTTATTAGTTATTGGAAGCTGAATTTGTGTCTAAGTGTGCAGTCTCTGTGATGCAGGAAAGCTTCACAGAAAATTATAGTTTGTTTTGCTGTATATTATGCATCTCGTTTATCGCCCTGGTTTCACCTACCATCAAATCTCATCTTACTCTTATTCTTTTCTTTTGCTATCTGTCTATTCATGGTGCCCCAGCCCCACCCATTTCTTCCCCTCCATTTTACTGTTCTGGTGCACCTCATGACCCCTGCATTCAAAAGACTAACAATGGAAAATAATATTTTATTTCTTCTGGCATAATTTTTATTTTAGTGACCCACCAAACCCTTTTTGTAACATTTTGGTCATTCTAATCTTTATGTCCATTCGAGGGAAATGTACTTTTGTTCATTTTTCCTGATGTATCTTTGTCTTATGTATTGGTTACATTGGAAAATATTGTTTATGTCATGATATCTTGAACTTATGCTTTATTGTTACATTTACTTCAGTTACAAAATGAACAAACAGCTAGTGTAGTATTTTTTCTTGTAGTTCACCCCTTGACAAAGACTTGTCATATTTTTATAAAGAGGCAAATTTCTTTTCACACTGTGAGTTTTCTAAGTAGAAAAAAAAAGCCTTTGCATTGAATAGAATCAGGAAATGTCTGTCAACCAGCAACATATGTGAACGAGGCACATGGGCAAACATTCTTAGAATATGAGGGTAAAGAGTTAATGCTCTTCTGTTTTATTCTCCACTTGATGTATGGATGTGCTGACGGTTTGTTTGAGTTAAATTTTTAAAACATTTTTCCCCCTTGTTGCTTTCATAATGTATCACATTCCCCTCAAAGGATTCCACATTTACTGCAAACTAGCCTGTTATGCTATGAATTCATAACTCATAAATACCAGTTTCTTTTCCCTTCTATTTAAGCTATATTATATACATTTAGTTGCGATTGTGTGAGTGATTTGAATGTCCCTGTGTGTAGTGGGTTGGAGTTACAAATCCATGTGTGTGTAGTGGGTTGGAGTTACAAATCCATGTGGATGGTTGGTAGGTGCTCTGGTGTGGTTTGCTCCTTCTTTCCTATCAAACAACTGTCATCCTTATCTCTCCTCCTTTATGTTCGTTTCTCTCCCGTAACGCCTCATATTTTCAGCTCTTATATGACCTAATTGTGTTGTAAATGCAGTAGAATGCTTACTAATACTAAGAAATTCATGTTATTTGAGTAGCTCTCCTAGGTTGAGAAAATTATTGTTAGTGATTTCTTTGAGGAGAGTATCGTGAACCCAAAGCAGGACGAGTATGTGGAGGGTGCCACTGGTAGTTTGTACTTCTTTACTTTCCCTCTCTTGTTTCAGTCTGTCTGTTTGTCTTACTTATTCACGTCACTAAAAGACCGTGGATGGTTGGCGGGTGCTCTGGTGTGGTTTGCTTATTCTTTCCTATCGAACATCTATCATCCTTTTCTCCCCTTCTTCTTTTTTATGTTTGTTACTCTCATGTAACACCTCTAATCTTCTGGCGCTCATATGACCTTATGCAGTTGCGAGCGCTGTAAAACCTCTACTAAAACTAAAAGACCATTATTGTGGAGATGTGCTTCTGTCTGCTGAACAAACAAACCAAAGCAAGACTTAAGAACCTAAGAAACATGTCTTTGGGACATAAAATGGGTCTCTGCAGGTAGAAATGGACTATTCCAGAGAAAAAGAGAAACACACTGGGGTTTAAAAAAAGAGACAAGGATTGTTCTAAATGAAATTTCTTACTTTGACATTTCAGACCGTTCTCCAGACATCGACAACGACAGCGACGACGACGACGTACCCGAGTACAACGACTATTCCTCCAACGACGACATGAGTGACAGCGAGCCCACCATGACAGAGCACGAGGCCAGAGCGCGGCAGAGGAAGCACAGCAGGTCAAAGATTGGCCCCGGTGTCACGGTGAGACCATGATACTGCTGTGTTGTGTGTTTGTGTGTGTGTAGGAGGGAGGGGGGGGGTACTAAAAGTTGAATGAGTAATGTAATCAATTTTT